TAATGTCCCCAAGGCCTGGAACCCATCCTAAAGAACTGTTAATGAAGTAGCTCCCAGCTAACAGGGAGGTGCTGATCAAACCACTCCACGCCCTTCCTGCCCAGATTACTCCTCCCAGCCCCAACCACCCACCCATTTCCCACCTTTTGGCCTTCCCACCTGCATTCTATCTCTGCAGGATAGAGGGAAACCAAGGACAGGAATGTGGGAGGGCTAAAAGAAGACCTTAGATATAAAAAAGGGAAGACCTCCCCTTCCACAGATTCCACCTTATGGGTCCCCTTCTTCCTCTGGGAGGAAGTCTTCTCTGCTGTCCTTTAATAAAGCCTTCCACTTTCCACTCTACACTTGCCTGGGCGTGCTTCTCTGGTGTTATACGTCAGCATTCGGGGAAGCAAGGACTCCTCACCAATAAACAGCGGTAACACTGATCATCCAGTCTCCTACAACCACTCACCCCACTCTGCCATGTCCACTGCCCCAGGAACTAAAAGCACAGAAGGGGGCTTCTAGGACTTCTCTCCAGTATTATGATCTGTTCCTGTTCTGATTGGCCAACAACCTCATTCAATATTTTGAAAATTGCCCCAGTGTTTCATGAATTAGGCAACTTAATTTTTACACTAGTTTTGTATTCTAGAAGAGGAGACAGAGGCTCAAAGAGGTGGAGACTTGACCTAGGTCAGAGCTCCTGAAAAGCCAAGCACAAATTCTATCTGACAGAAGGGCAGATTTTATGCTGGAGATGTAGGGGACCTACAGCTAAGCAGACTGGCCACACCAAATAAATCAACAGGGGAAATATGATTTCCAGAAACTTCCTGTTTTACTGGGTCAGAGAAATCTGTTAAGAATGTCAGGCCCCTTAGTCCACAATCCACACAAAATGCTAAGCAAAATGCTGAGTCTATGAAGAGGGTAACATGTCCTTCAGTGGTGACATTTAGAGTGGACTGTTACATCTTCTTCTAGCAAACACTCAAAACTCTTTTCTTCCATCCTTAAATTTAACTGATCCCATCCCAGATGCTATGGTTATTTGCCTCTAGCTTCCAAAACAAAAGTAAACAGCAAGGCCATCTGTTACAGACCGCCCTGTGAGAAGGTCAGCCTCCCCCATGGTCTCTGCACTCCAAGTTAAAAGTTAACAAAACACAAAGAGGTTTATTTAGCCTGAACTCCTGAGCTGCTGCAGGTCGGGTTGTAAAAGGAGAGTCAGAAAACAGGGCCCTATTGCCATAACGTATGACTAAGAATGTAGCCAAGAAGTTAGGAAAAGAACAGCAAAACCCTAAGGAAAATGAAAAAGGCTTAATGTGGAAAAGAAAAAAAAAAAGCAGAAAATGAGGAATTAGAAGCTAGACTGACAAATAAATCCAATAGCAGCTTATACAGAGAAAAATATACAAATGGGTAAATAAGTAGACAAAGTTCATTGTTTCAATAGGTCAATATGGAAAATTTTTAATAGGCTAAATGAATATTTCAAAGGACCCCAAAGCCAAGGAGAAAAATGCAGCATTCGTTCTTTTTTTTTTTTCAGATAGATGATAATATATACGCATGGAGAAACATCCAAAAGGATATTCATCAAAATGCTAACAGTATTTATCTCTGTGTGACAAAACTTGGAGCAATTTTTCTTTCTTCTTTATATTTCTCGATATTTCTCGAATTGTTTACAATGAGCATTTATCATTTTTATAGTCAGTATGAAAACTCTAAAACTATTTTCATTTTTCTAACTGTCTCAAATGTGATTGAATATGAAATACGACCAATATATAAAAAAGCTACATAAAAATGTAAATAAATCATAGTTGTATTTGCTTTATAAGAATATAAGCATCACATGTTTAGTATCACAATGGATAATAAAAAAAGAAATCTTATGAAATTACCTACTACTCTCCCCCAAAAGCTCATGAATGAGATAATGCAAGAAAGATTAGAGGTGATTGGGTTATGAGAGCCTTAAACTGATCAATGCATTAATCCACCATGGGAATTAGCTGGGTGGTAACTGTAGGCAGGTTGGGTGTGGCTGGAAGACGCAGGCAGGCTGTTGGGGGCGTGCCTTTGGAGTATAGATATTGCTCTGGATCAGTAGGAATCCTGTCTCTTCATTTTTATATTCATATTGCTTATCATGATATATGTACTTTGAATAAACAAATGATACAAACATACTTTTACAAAAAGCTCTCATGTCAATTTGACCAATGATAAAACAATGTGTTCTTTCATTAAGTTATTGTTATGAAAAAGTGATCCTGGTAATACCTTCAGTATACAGCATGGGTTAAAAAAAAAATGCAAAATTGATAAGGAGAAAAGCCAGCTTGATTCCCAGAACCTCAATTTTCAAGAGTTGTCAGGTGGAGATGCTGGGAGGGGACAGAAGGTGGGATCAAGGACCATGGTCCCAATAAAGCCCAAGGAAGCACAGTCAGAAGTAAGATCTGACTGGGAGTCTGAACAAAGTTCTCTAGTTTCAGTTCAGGCGTTGCAAACTGGCAATCCTGGAACTGAATTTGGCCCATAGAAATATGTTGTTTGGTCTGCACTCTGTTTCTTTAAAACTCTTTTAGAACTTTGCATTTGAATGTCATGTGCTGGGAATAATACTGGCTGCAGCAGGGACTTCTCAAAGTGCTTTGCATATTTGAATCCATTAATGTGCTAGAGAACATTTGTTGAGTGCTTACAATATGCCAAGCACTATTTCAAGCACTTTGTGTGTATTAAATCACAAAAGGCTTTAACAACCCTACCTCCATGTTACCTATGGGAAAACTGAAACAGAAAGAATTGAATAATTTATCTGACTGAGGTCCTATAGCTAGTAAATAGCAAAGTCAGGATTTAAATGTGGGCCATCTGAGCCCCATGTTTGGCCAGTTAGACACAGTGCTGCAGTTGCCTCCCCAGCTCTGTCTTACACTTAACCAAATCTACACTTGGATATTTCTGACTCAGTCCTTGTCACTTTTGAGGTACATGAGCCAGTGTCAGCAGAGTCACTGAGTTATTGTTCCAAGAATGACATGTCCATCTTCTGTTAGGTTTGAGCAACCTCCTTCCAGTGAGCAGGTAAGAGGTCCTCTTTATAGTGAGCAGAACTCCACGTATACATGGCTGGGGGTCAGGGCAGTAGAAGCAGAGTCACCTCTGTCATTGACCTCTGACACCTTACAGTTCTCAGAGACTCACCTTCCCACTGGACGCTCAAAATACATTAAACCTTGCACAAGCAACAACAACAACAAAATGGGCTTCATCAAAATTTAAAGTTTTGTGTATTAATAGATATTATCAAGGTTGGGGATGTGGTTCCACGGTATAGCACTTGTCAGATTGCTCAATGTCCTGAGTTTGATCTCCAGCACAGCCTAAAAATAAAAATAAATAAATAAAATAAAATTTAAAAAGACACTATCACAGAATAGAAGAAAATATTTACAAATTCTATATCTGATATGGTATTAGTAGAAAAAATGCATAAAGAACTTCTATAGTTCAACAACATTAAAACAACAACCCAACTTTAAATGAGCAAAAGACGTAAACAGACATTTCTCTGAAGGAGATATGTGAATCACCAACAAGTATAGGAAAAGATGCTCTCCACATCACTAGTAATTGGGGAAACACCAATCAGAACCACAGGGAGACCCCATTTCATACCCACTAAGATGGCTATCATCAAAAATCTAGAAACTAAGAGGAGTATAATAGGAAGGTGGAAACTGTTATGCTTGAATTCGGGACCCCCAAAGACCACCAGAGACCCAAGATCGATGCAAGCAGCAAAGAGGTGTTTATTGCGAGCTAGCTCGGTCCTCCGCACACACACACAGCAACTGGTGACGCTGAGAGGCCCCGAGCCCAGGGTTTGCAGCAGTTTTATACATTTTTTGGAGAAGGCAGGGACTTCACATACATCATAACAAATCATCACACACCGCGGGAAAATCAAATAACAGCTATAAAACATGACTAGCACATTCACTGGCGGGAACAAGTTGGGTAGGGGTGATTGGTCAGTACAAAAGGGGTATTCGTTTGAACTGATTGGTTTGAGCCAAGAGGGGTGTACATGCTGAACTACATGGTTTCCCAACATGTTATCAATCACCATAAACTGGGAGGGTCATCTGGCATCTCAGGTATTTCCCTGTCTCATGCTGATTGGTGGCTGCTAGGGGGTTGCTATGGATCCCCACCTAGCCTGACTGAGTCAGGGACACCTGGGGCAGCAGATCTCCTGTTATTTGCAGATAAACAATTTAGCAGGGTGGGAATGTGCTTAGGAGTGCTCTGTGGATTTTTCCAAGGACAAAGGCATGTCCCTTCCTTGAACAGGCTTTGCTCTGAGATAGAGGCTGGTTTTTCAAAACCTTGTGCATTGCAGGTGGGAATGTAAAATGGTACAGTGGTGGGAAAGAATTTGGTGATTCCTCAAACTGTTAAAGTTACATGACTATATGATCCATCAATTCCACTTCTTGGCACATGTACATCCAAAAGAATTGAGAGCAGGGATTCAAACAGATACTTGTATGCCAATGTGTGTAGGAACACTATTCTCAATGGCTAAAAGTTAGACAGAATGCAAATGTCCATCATCAACAGATTCATGGAAAAACAAAATGTGATATGATCAAGGACTATTTAGCCTTCAAAAGAATGAAATTCTGAAACATGCTTACTACAACATGGAGGAACCTTGAAAACACTGTGCTAGTGAAGTAAACCAAACACAAAAAGGCAAATATTGCGTGATTCCACTTACATGAGGTACTCAGAGTATTCAAAATTATAGAGACAAGAAAATAAACAGATATCCAGTGACTAGGGGCTGCATAAATGAGGAGTTGGCATTCAATGGGTTCAGAATGTGTTTGGGATGATGAAAAAACTGGAAATTATAATAACGGTTGTGTAACATTGTAAATACACTTAATGCTGCTGAACTGTATACTTAAAATGATTTAAATTATAAATTTTGAGTTATATATATTTTATTATAATAAAAAAATGCTTTTAACAGGTAATAAAAGTTATACAGAAAACTGGATCCTTGCTCATTCAAAATCAAATAAGCAGGAAAAGTGTTAAGAGGATAGGAAGAAAAGAATCTATCGAATTATCTAAAAAGATAAAGAAAAAAAATAGGCAGAAAATGGCCAGAAAAAAAAATGGCCCAGCTGCAGAAGACCATACAAAACTTTTTTTTTATTTTTTATTTTTATGTATTTATTTTTTTGAGGTGATTATTTCTTTTTTTAAAAAATTATTTATTTTGCATTACAATTCTTAATACACCATTATACTGAAAGGGTAAAGTTTCTAAGCTGCAAAGCCTGAGTTAAAATGTAAAGGACTAGGTATTGCAAAGTTTCTGAACTGCACACAGAACCTGAAATTCCTGAGGCAGTTAAGACAATGCCCGGTACTGACCATTTAGTTGTTAAATAACCTGGACCCTGTGCAGTTTGGCACCTAGGCATTCAGGGCCCAAACCAATCAGTTTGAATGTATCCCCTTCTTAGGACTGACCTATCACTCCCGCCCGACCTGTTCCCGCCAATGAATGTACTAATCATGTTTGAGAATTGTTGTTTGATTTTCCCGGGGTGTATGGTGATTTGTTAAAGGAGACTGTGATGTATGCAAAGTCCCTGCCCTCCCTAAAAATGTGTACTTAAGCACTGCTCAACCCCTGCTCGGGCTCTGGGCTGCTCTCCCTTCTTGAGTGGGCACGGAGCCCCAGCGCTCTGGATCCTCAATAAATCCCCTTTTGCTGTTGCATGAGTCAGTCTCTTGGTGGTCTCTTCGCCGGACCCTTACAATACAATAATTTATCATATCTCTGATCAAAACTTTTTTTAAAAGAAGCAAATGCTTTCTTAAGAACTTACAGAAAAAAAATTAAATGTAATAATGCTCACCAATTAGATACATGTTCACAAACACATGTGCTTAGACAATAAAATAAATGTCCAAAATCTCAGCTACTAAACAGTGTAGTGAAGTTAAAATGTCTTCACTTCATGTGAGTCTGACTGAAGAATAGTGCCCCCAAATTTAATTATAACAAAATTTTATCAAGGTACCTAGAATACTCCTTGGAGCTTTCAATCCTTTTTGAAGAAATTACACAAAAATTTTGAAATATTGAGACTACCATTTAACTGTCCGTTAGAGACTACCATAATCTAAATAAAATGAGTTGCAAAGTCCATTATTAGAAAATAACATCATGGAGTTATAAATAGCTCTGTAGCCTCTGTATCTTTATTTTCCCAAACCTTTAACTTGATTCATGTTAGGTTAATGGGGGCTGAGGGAGTCATAACACCATAGGAATATTGATTTTTTTTAGAAAGAAAATAAAATTTAATTCTAGAATGTGCCATTAAGTTACTGAGTGACCTTGGGCATGTCACTCAACCTCTCTGAGAACCAATTTCCTGTTATGAAATACAGATTGTGCAAAATAACCTCGAAGTCTCTCTAACACACTGTGTCACATTTTATTCTGTCTTCTCTTTAATCTTTTTGCTTCTCTTTACCAAATATGTCTGTGTTCAAATTGAAAGACGTGGTTTCATAAACCTCCTGCAACTATGATTTTCATTCAATCTCTCCAAACTTAGTCTCTTCTTATATCTCAACTACCCACACCCTAGAATGATTAAAGAAACTCTCATCCCTCCCTTTTGTTTATTTGTGCATATCACTTTGGTCCAGAAAAAAAGTGTCTAATTTCACTTCTTAAAAAATGTAAAATTCTCTTGTGCGTATACTGTGCATAATCTTATTTTAAGACCAAATTTTTTCAAAAAAAAAAAAACATGCTTAACAATGTTTACTGTTTTTTTTTCCTCTCCATTAAAACAGGAGTGACATATGCATTAAGAAAGATGGTAAGCGAATGCAGACAGCATGTGGAGGAGTTCCAGCCAACTGCCACCCTTCCTCTCCTGGCTTGATGGCTGATCACCAAAATGCATTCCAGAGCTGTTCTCTCTCCTCATACATCTCATTTGAGAATGAATTCGTTTCTGTTTTAAGTCATCCCATTTGGGAAAACCTAGATCCCATCAACAACAGCTTGAGAACAGAATCGAGAGGAGTAGAAAAGCAAGAAAGAAGACCTAAAAATTTAAATAATCTTTCTTCAGTATAAATCTAAAAAGAAAGCTCTGTATTTCAGTGTACCATCAGTCTATGCAAGGAAGATTCTATTCCTTTCTGTATCAGGTAATCAGACAATTTAATAACGTTAGTTCATCTGTGGTCAGGAATGTGACATCCAAACTCCACTGTTGGCATCTTTTCATTGGCACGACCACAGATCCTGGCCAGGATGTTGGTGCACAGGACTGACATGTGTCTGCAGACCTGCCACATCCAGCTGGACTCTTCTTAAGATAGATGTGATTTGTGTTTTGCAGAATTTAAAAAATAGGAAGACCCTGGATTTTAATGGGTCTCCATTATACCAGCATATATACTTGATATGAAATTTCTTAAGTTTATATTCTAATAACATTTTACACAATGAATATGCAAAGCCAGATCTATGGAAAACCATATGCGAACCAATCAGGGCCAGAGCCAAAGTGGGATCCAAGAGCCAAAATTAAACCCCACTAATGTGATTCACTCATGAATTCGTCAAATACATAAGTGAGCAGCATCTCTTAGCAACTATTCTAGGCACTGTGGAGGATCTCTAAAACTTACCATGATCACACTGCACAACAGAGTGTGGAAAAGTGCTGCTGGAGAGACCTAAAGATGCTGGTAACCTGAAGAAGAGAAGGGAGGTCATAGCTTCTTTCAGTCCCCAGTAGGGTCAGGTCTTTGACCCAAATGAAGCCACTGGTATGTTCCCAGAGTGATGACAACATGGATGTTGGTTGTGTGACTGGAAGGGAATGCTGAGCTTCCCTCGGGGCAGACAGGACCTCTGGTCAGGAGCCAGCCCCTCACCTGTGCAGCCCCCATCCACCACAGAGTCCCACAAGCTGGAAGAAGAAAGAGCTCAGAGAGCCATCACTAGAACAGAGATCAGTAGAAAGACAAGAAAGAAGTCTTACAAATGAAAGCAATCTTTCCTCAGCCCACGTCAGGAAAGGATGATGTGGATCTCAAGAGCCCTTTCCATCCAAGGAGCATGGAGAAGGTGAAGTGCAGACAAAAAGGAAGAGGAGCCAGGCTCTCTAATGGGGAGGAGAAGAAGAAGAATACCTAAGGGAGCCCACCTTCCAGACAATTTGAAAAACCAGCCTCTATCTCAGAGCAAAGCCTGTCCAAGGAAGGGACATGCCTTTGTCCTTGGAAAAACCCACAGAGCACTCCTAGGCACATTCCCACCCTG